CGGAAACATACCTCAGGAACATCGTATGCATTTTTCACACGTAAGAATGCCAAGTGTGCACGTGCTTTGATAGACATACTGCGCGAAGCCAACCAAAATGTAAATCCAGAATTAGAATACATGGCCCGCAGTGCCGGCACTGGTGGTGGTCGCAGTCGTGGGGGCCGAGGAAGTGGCGGTGGCGGCGGCGGCGGTGGTAGCAGCATGGGACCTAATAGACGTGGTGGTGGTGGTGGGGGAGGTCGCGCTTTTCATTCGGGTGGTATGGGAGGAAATTCAGGTCCTGGATATGGTAACGGTTATCGTGGGAATGCTCTGATGGGTGGCAACAGCGGTGGCGGTGGTGGATATGGCAGTAGTAGTGGCGTTGGTGGCGGTTTCCCGAACGGTGGCCTGTCTTCTGGTGGCTCTAGATCGCGGAACTACAACTCTCGACACTAAAACACACACTCATCGCGAAATTTTGTGTAAGCATGGAGAAACTTGCCAACTGCAAGAGTTGGTTTTACATAAAGAAATAATATGTATGAAAAGAATTCCCTTTAAGTTCGTTCGCAACGTTTCATAAGTCAAACAATCTGAAATTGACGTTGGAGCAATGCAACACTTCTTTTGAGACACGGTGATCAAATCAAGAAAAACAAGAAAGCATGTATATTCATATGTATGTGTTAGGCTGGGTCTTCATACTTGAATTGTAAACACTCGCTTTTAGCATAATCTTCTGTAAATATCATTCTCATAGAAAACACCTGGCATTTACGTCAAAGGGCTAGGGAAACGGAAGATACAGCTTTATATACAAAAGAGGTTATGAAAATTTAGATGTGTACATTTTCGTTTAACGTACATACATACTTATATTAAACATTTATGGAATAAATGAATGAATGGAATTAAAACTATATCAGAAGGTTACTAAAATAGAAGATTGAATAAAGTTTTAATATCTTTATTTCCAAGATGTTTGTTTTATTATTTTTTGTAAGTTGTGGTTCACAATATTCAAAAGTGTGTATATGTGTGTATAATTAGGCTTTGTTTTAGGAAATGCATGATTTTTTTTTGTAGAATAATGATATATGTATGTTTAAGATCTCTTTTACATCTTTCGTACTAAATAATTTCTAATGTATATTTGTAAGTATGCACTAGTTCGTGGTTTTATGTTTATTTAAAAATATGTATAAGTAAAATTACATCAGTTAATATAAAAATTTTGTGCATTCGTCCATTTGACACATTGCTGCTACATTTTTATTGGTTATGCCTGCTTTTGTGCTCGGCGCTGTCCTGGAATGAGAAGATCAAAATGCAGAGAAATTTAACATGGATTTAGTGGTAATATGCTACTCATCGGGGAAATAATTTAGATTAAGTCTTTACACTAAATACATAGAGCAATAGGGTTGCCAGACGTACTGCTTTTGGGAGTAAACGTTTACTTTTTTTATTGTAATGTACTCCCTTGTACTCCCAAAAAAAAGATATCTGGAAATGTACTCCTTTCTTAGTTTTGTACTTCTTTTGTACTCCTTTTTCCAGCTATTAATATTTTATCATTTACAGGGCGTAAAATAATAACTGTTGCACAGGTTTTATTGAAAAATAAAAGGGAACTATAGATTTTGCGAAAAAAGTACTTTATTGTTAATTATCCACATATTTCACTTAAATTTTATTGATAAGTTTTTAAATTTTAACATTCATTTGCGTTTACCAGCGGTAAACACGTTGAGAGAAAAGCACAAGCGGCACGCTAGTCTTCGTCGGTTACTTTATTACATATCGTCACTAGACACGAATAAAGGCGCGCGCTCAAAAAATGACGGCGAAAAAAGACGCATAAAAAAACTTCAGCGTCAAAGACTCTTAACATACTTCGCCGTAGGTTTTCATAAGCATCTTTTTTCGCAAAATTTTTTTACGCGCCTTTTTTCACCGTCAAAACACTAGCGGCCCTTAATTGGTGTGTAGTGACGATATCTTCTGTAAACATAGGCTAATTTCCTCCATTTGGCTCCTTTATACTCCGTCTTTTGTCCAACATAAGGCCTCATACTCAGCAATCGAAAAGACTCGGAACTGATGACTAGAAGGCCATTCATTCGACCAACCCTACACCTATACAGTTTGTTTTTTTTTTATACAAAATCTAAGAAAAAAATACACCTGAAAAAACCATTTACTTTTCTCCCAAAGCTGGCAAATGGAAATTTGGATTAAAGTTTTAAAACTAATTAATAAAATTAAAGTAAACTATAAAGTCAGCAAAAAATACTTTTTTTCCCAAAATCTTTAAAGGACTCTTTTATTTTTCGAAAAACCTTTGCGACAGTTATTAATTTACGCTCTGTATTTTGCCATTCATATTGTGGCAAACACTACTTAGTAAGTAAAGTTAAGTGTGACAGTGAAAAGGTGTACGCATGGTCGTAGGCAGGTAGGTGCAGGGCGCTCGGGTATAAAAATCAGAAAAAATTTAAATTATAAAATAAAAAAAATTGCCATACATTCAGGAATAGACTGGAATTCTTTTGTAGAATTTAGTTATTTATTTCTATGATATCCGTGTTTGTTTGTACCTAAATAATGGTAATTTGTAACAATAAATTGCACAAAAAAATAAAACAAAAATTGTAGTCCTTTTTTAAGTTCTGTACTGCTTTTTTTCTATCGAAAATAAGAAATGTACTCCTTTCTCCGTTTCAGAATCTGGCAACCCTATAGAGCAAGAACTAAAAAGTTTAATAAAAATCGGATGATAGGGTGATTGGTCAATCCTAAAATGGAAAACTTAATCTTTACGCCATGAAATGATCCGCCCACACACAATTTAGTGATTTAATTCTTCTTGTTTCATAGAGCCCTTTATATGGAAACTCGCCTAAATTTAGCTGGTGTAGAGGTTTATCGCAAATCTTCTTTTGGAACGAAGATAATTCGCCTCATTGAGTGAGTTGTAAATTAGGCTGTCTATTGTCGTGCTAAAATAAATAAACGACGAACATCCACTTCCTTTTCGTCGGTGAACGAGTGTGGACGGATTTAGCTTCTGGCGCATAGGCACTCGTGAAGTGCTAAGTACAGTAACTTTAATTTTTCTTAGTATACCTATCTACGCTATAGCATACAGATAGACAAAACCCATTTTCGCTTTTGGGTTTTTGCTCATCTTTCTCAGGTGAGTAATTTTCCTGTAAGTCTATTATTGTGAAGTGCATGTAGACATCCTTGTGTCGATTAGTGTTTTTTTTATTTTTTATTAGCATCAAGCTCGGAACACTTTGACGACAGCAAGCGACAAGCAGCATCTGTCAAATTTTAAATACACACGTTCTCACGGACACAATTATTTTGACGACAGCACGACATCTTGGCTGCAGGACTGCAATTGTCGACGTCGCCAAATTAAATCTATTTCTAATTTTGCCGGCGACAATGAGTAGATGTAGTGCTGCAAAATTAAATTGTCGCAAAATTAATCACATATTCTTGATTGTTCATGTTTTTCTTATTTACTTAAATAAAAATACACAATTTGTGAAATAAATATACCAAAATATCAAACTTTAAAATCAGCTGTTTGCTATGTCGCTGAGGTCTTCAAAGTGTTTAAGAAGCTGGCTTCAAGACGACATTTGTCGACAAAATGATGTCGCTGTCGTTACGTCGTGAAGTTGCAGTCGTCAAAGTGTTCCGAGCTTAAGACTGCCGACGACGGCAGCAAAAAAGCAAAAAGCCGATATGGCGTCGCCGACTGCAAGGTCGGTCTTTACAAAATTACATTTAAGAACTGTGCGTCTGTAAACAACTTTCTTTTAAATTCTAAAATCAAGGCAGTGGGATTAAGGCCCTTCGTTCTGAGAACGGCCTTAGAATCCTATGGTGTAGTTAGGGGTATCCTAACTTCATATACGGAATTAAAGGCCAATATTATCTCAAGTATCCCTATTTCAGCGGTCAGGCGCTTCACGCGGAAGGCTGATAACAAAACTTTTATCCCCACAACCACCGTGAAATTTGGCTTTGCAAATAAAGAAATTCCAAAGTATATTATACTTGACTAAACAAAACTGTACGTCGACTTCTATGTCCCCCCTCTAAGGCATGGTCACAGGTAGTACGCCTGCAAATCAAAGAAAAGGTGCGTTCAAAGCGGACAAAACGACTGTGATTCTAATTCCTGTGAGAAGAAATGCATTTTATGTGTGCTGATTGGAAAAAATAAAAGTCTGTTGACTATATACGCGCGGTTAAAAAATTATCAAGAAAGGAGACCCTAAAGCTTACTTCCCTCGCAACGAAAATCGGTTCAACTTGCTCACAGTTGACGATGCGGAATTCCCAATCTTAACAAACGAGGACAAAGTCTCAAAAAATAGCGATAGTGAGATTAACAGAAAGCTAACTAGAGTCAAGTACAGTGCGGTAGCATACTTATCCAAAACGGAAAAGCAAACAGTGCACAGGCGTGGGCATGTCCTCTAGGGGTAGGAATCTTCTTAACATAATTTCTGAGCACAATTTTTGGGCACTCAATGATGGATCTTAGACCTTTAAGGCCAACTTCTTATCTCCCACAGGTACCTGTTGCCTGATTTAAAATCTAAATTTTGACTTTGGCATTTGTGTATTATCCCAAGCTTTTTATTAGAAATCTGGTTCAGAAAGATAGATTTTTTTTTATAAAAGAAAAACAAACAAAAAACATACTATACCGTTAGCTTTGATTGAAAGGTTGCTAAATACATTTTGTTTATTTTACAGGAAAGAAAAACAACTTTCTATAGATAACCACATACAACTCAAGAAGGCTCGTTGATAATTAAAAGGTTTCGTATTATTTTGATCTTTTCGAGTTTTACCTCTTTTAAACTTAGCAAATTTGCATTTTATTGAATATTAGCAAATACCCGGCGTGATTCACTGCGCCTTAAAAGCACTTTTACGCTGTTACTTCATGGTTATGGCCTCATTCATAAAAAATAAAATAGATTTAAAGAGCTTTTTTCATTTATATTATAAATATAAACGAATATAATTTTTCAAATTGGTGGCAACCCCCCTCAAAAATATTTTTGGCAGTAAAATTTCCTAAACCTCTTCAATATAATATCCATATTGCATTATTTATTTTGTCTTATCAATTAGATTAAATTAAAATTTCCAAACAGGTGGTAATCTTCCACTAAAATTTGTACGTCTGTAAACCATCTTAAATCTCTTTCTTTTGACAGCCATATTGCAATATTTAATTTATCTTATCAATTTACCTAAACTGTAATTTTCAAACAGGTGGCAACTCTAATTTTCTTCTTCTATATTTTAAGTAAGACATGTAGTAATACACCAGTGAAAACTGCATTCGATTCCATGTATTCGTTTTCGATTGATGCGCGTATAAACATTCATACAGACAGACATACATATGTACATACATATAGACAAAAAATCTAAAAATTGTTGATTTCACTTCTGTTGATCTAATAAAGAAATCCATATTAATTTTTCTTTAATGTCTACGGAAAAAATAAAAAAAAGGATCTTAGTCCTTTTCGAAACGATGCAATTTCGCTTTCTTCTTGTATAAAAATATGAGTTTTCACAAAAAATGCACTTAGCAACTTTTCACTCTAAGCTAGCGATATGTATGATATGTGTATAAATGTTTGTATAATGAAAACATCGCACACCGTCCTCAAAAGGTTCACAACTGAAAATCACACGTTTGTCAGAAAATGCGAAAAACTATTTTTTTAAGCACCTGATAATCATATGGGCAAGGGAGACTTTATTTTAGGTTTTTTAAGAAGTTATAACAAAAATTTGCTCGAGCTTTTGATGAAAGGTAAATAAAAGCTCTATGTACATTTTTAGCGCATAATTTCAAAAATGCTAAATTTTTAGTTGTGCCTCTTTTGAAGATGGTGTGCGATATGTATGTATGTATGTATCGTAATGTAATATGCGTATCCTTAAAAAATGATTGCCAACCGAGGAATTTGAAATTTCTTTATACCTTTCTCCTTATGCTTTCGCTCTTTGTTGGCCTTGCTGACCATCTTTGCTCCGCCGGCATTACACTTCTTGTTGATATTACGCATCGGCTCACAGCTGGACTCTGCGGCGGTGTCAGTTCCGCCTGCCGGATTGGCTGCTGCTGTCGATTTCAATATGTCTTGCCTCGTCATTTGACCATTA